GGTTTATTCTTTTCCAAGTTTGAGGTTTCAGTCCATGATTGATTGGCCTCATTGCTTTGGTCCTATAGGAAATAGCACACCATGGTGAAAGTGCACAGTGGAACAGAATTGCCCATTGCATGGCCAGAAAGCCAAAAAGAGAATGAGGCAAAAACAGGGGGTCTTACTTTCCCCTTTAAGAATACACCCCCAACTCTAAGATTTCATCTCACTCCAGTCAGAATGACAGCTATTATGATGACAAACAACAATAAGTATTGGCGAGGATGTGGGGGAAAGGTACACTCATACACTGCTGGTGGGACTGTAAATTGGTGCAGCCAATCTGGAAATCAGTATGGAGATTTCTTGGAAAATTGGGAAGGGAACCACCTTTTGACCCAGGTATCACTCTCCTCGATCTATAACCAAAGGACTTAAAAACTGCATACTACAGGGACACAGCCACATCAATGTTTATAGCAGCATAATAGCTAAACTATGGAACCAACCTAGATGCCCTTCAATAGATGAATGGATAAAAAAAATGTGGTATATATACACTTTGGAATATTATTCAGCAATAAAAGAGAATAAAATCATGGCATTTGAAGGTAAATAAATGGAGTTAGAGAAGATAATGCTAAGTGAAGTAAGTCAATCCCAAAAAACCAAATGCTGAATGTTTTCTTTGATATAAGGAGGTTATATATTCTGGTTCATAGTGGGATAGGGAGCGGGAACATGGGAGGAATAGACGAACTCTAGATAGGGTAAGGGGGTTGGAGGGGAAGGGAGGGGACATGGGGTTATTAATGATGGTGGAATGTGATGATCATTATTATCCAAAGTACAGGTATGAAGACACGAATTGTTGTGAATATACTGTGTCTACAACCAAAAATATGAAAAATTGTGCTCTATATGTGTAATAAGAATTGTAATGCATTCCTCTGTCATATATAAATAAAAAAGAAAAAAAAAAGAATATACCTGCAATGACTCAAAGACCTTCCACTAGGCCCTCCTCTTAAAAGTTTCATCAGAGATGGGGTTGTGGCTCAGTGATAGAGCGCTTGCCTAGCACACATGAGGCACTGGGTTCGATACCCAGCACCACATTAAAAAAATACATAAATTAAAAAAATAAAGAAATTATATATGAAAAATAGTTTCCACCATTTCCCAATAGTGGTAAGCTGAGGCCTAGGCCTATGATACATGGTGCCAACTATACAGCAACATTCTTTGCCTAATTTTTAGTTAGGATATTTTTTTGCTACAGAGTTGAGTCCCTTATATATTTTGGATATTAACCCTTTATCAGAGTATGGCTTATGTACATTTTTTCCTGTTCTGTGGGCTGTCTTTTCACATTGTTAATTGCTGGTAGCAGGCCTTCCCTGGCCCCTGGGGCTCAGCCCCGAATTTCTTGTTCTGCATGTCAAAGTGGCCAGCTCACAGGGTCGTGACGCAGGCTTGCAGTTTCATGTTTATCTGTCTCAGACATATGTGCCTTTTTGGGAACATCTTG